GGGAGAGGGAGCCAGGCTTAGTAGGTGGCAGAGGGCTCCTGCAGGTTCACCAAGCTCGCACAGGCTTCAGAGGGTTATCTCTAGCATTGGAAAGGTAATTAGGGGATCCAGAAATATCTGTGAAATCATGAAAGGTGGAAAAAGGCCAAAGCAGGAGGAGAATCCAGTATACACTTAACCATGAAGAGGAAACAGGAAGGCAAATAAATGGACAAAGAAAGACTCCTGATGGGCACTTGGAGGAAGTCACGGAAGGATTGTTAGGCTATTTCATATGTGAGATTCATTTATTTAAATGCAAATAGATACTAAGCAAGTTCAGTAGGTTGTTTTGATGTTCCATGCCGATTTCAGTAAAACATTAAATTTTTAAAAGATAAGTAGGTGATTAAGCACGGGTCACAGCTCTTCAATTATCTTTTATTATCATTAAACCTCCCAGAATCCATGGGGAGAAATTATTCTGTGGGCTACCAGAAGCAGTCATCAGAGAAAAAGTAGATCAAATCAAGTTGGTTTAAGCCATAGGTTAGAGGACTTTTTAGTACTAGGACCAGACTCATAAGGAAGATAGCATGATATAGCAGAATGGCAAATATAAAGTCCAAAGACAGGGGTTTGTATCTACCAAGTACGCATATGACCTCTCTAGGACTTGGTTTCTTTTGGACTAAATGACCTCTTACAGATGGGGGAAGGGGAGTTATTGACAGTCATCTTGACCTATGTCTTGCCACTGGATTCTGATGATTCTGGAGGAGAGGGGCTGATGACTCTGCACATCTCTGCCTCACTTAAAGCCAATTCACTTGCAAGTCAGGACGTCACCCTCCTTGACAAACAATAACAACAATCTTACAGATCATCTACACCCCTAATTTTACATCGGAGGAAACTGAGTCGAAAAGAGGCAAAGGCTATCTAATTCATAAATGGCAGAGCTAGGATTTGAACCTCCAGGTCATCTGACCCCCAGTCCATGGCTCCTACTACTTAATACCATAATCTCTGAGATGTCGTCTTTGGAAAGAAAGCCTTCCCCTACCCATGATGGCTAAAAGCTTTCTATTAAGAAATTGAGTACTCCAAAGAAAACAACAGCTTAGAGGTCATAGAAAGAAGGAAATGTGACTTGATTTGAAAACTACATTGAACTGTTTTATCAAAATGTAGCACCCCTACTCCACCCCTCAACTGTTCCTTCCTCTGTTAGTACGGGACCAAGGGATGATTCTGTGGCCCCCACTGAGTCAAATTCTTGAGCTGACCCTGACACCATCTTACCTTCTCAAACTAATCCGAGATAAGTCAAAAGTGACTCCAAACTCATTCAGACCTTCTGTGAACCCAAGTCCAAATAGACCCATGCTTCAGTTTGTCCTTAATCTCTCCCTCCCCCTCCTTCTCCGAAAACCAATCCTAATCCAAACTCTCCAACCTCATCACAAGGAAAATAACATGTAGGAAAGACATATTTTAATATTCTTGACTTCCAATAGAAGCATGCTATTAGCACCTTATTTGGAGGTCCAGGCCCCTTTCCTCCTCTCCTTCCTTAGTCCTTGGTATCCAGTTATTGACTCTCTTTTGATGGTTACAAGGAGTCCATGCAATCAGATTTCACTCATTCACCCTAATCAGGGGAAAGGCCAGTCTGAGTGATAAATCACATGCCAACCAGCCATCATGGTGTAAGGTAAAGAAGAATGAAGCATTGGTCTAGTCAAGGAGGATTCCAGCCAAAGGGATCTCTGAGATCACCTCGTTTCAAAACCTTCCTTTTACACATGAAGAAACTGAGGTCCAGAGAAGGGAAGGGATTCACCCCAAAGTGCACAGCTAATAAGAGACAGGATGGAAACTCAGGTCCTCTGACTCCAAATTCACTGTCCTTGGCTGTGACCCTTGAGCAAATCATTTAACCTCCTTAGGCCCCCGTTACCTAATTTGTAACGTTGGGGGTGGGGTAGATAAAACGTTTGTACCACCTATGTCACAGAGCTGCTATGAGGATAAAACAACATATGTAAAATGCTTTGTAACAGTAAAAGTACCATATGATTATGAGCTGTTATGTTAGCTTTGAGGACATAAAATCACCCTGATGACCAGACTGGGAAAGGGAGGTGAAGGCTATGTATTCAGAGAATCCTTTTACCTGATGTTAATAAGCTGCTACTGCTCAAAGGCTTCCGTGGGCTAACATTTCCTTTATTTGGACTCTTCATTCACTGAGGCAACCTGCACTTCTTTCCCGACAGAGGAAAGATGACAAAAGGCTCAGCTGAACAGATGAATACCCTAAATGAGGGTACTGTTGCAGAGACAGCTCTTGTCACCTGGGGTGTTTGCTGCTTAGGGCCATCTAAGTCTCTAAACAAATAAAATCTTGGCCAACAAGAGCTCTGTACGTGAAAGCCACTTCAATGTAACAGGCCATCAGATGACAATCCATTCCACACAACAAATATCTATTTTTTTCTGATCCCAGCTTGCAAACTGTAACACTCTGTAGGACTAACTGTGCCTGGTCTGTACGGTATTGTATTGTAGTTGGAAGACAGGGCAAGGACAGAAGAAAGGAGAGCTGAAAAGTTTTGTTTTGTTCTGACTCTTAAAATAATAATAGCAGCTCACATTTCTATAGTATGTCTCTTCAATAATCCCACTAATCAATATTATGGCCCCCATTTTATAGCTGAAGAATCTGGATCGGAAAAGTTAAGTAATTTTCCCAGGCTCAAAGGGTTAGCTAGTAAGTGTCAGAGTGGAGGACCTGAACTTGGGTCTTTAGACTATAAGACCAACACTCTTTCCAGCTGTTCCACTCCCAAAATGTTTTGTCTCCCCACACCCCAATCAAACATCCCAATCACCACCCTTCTGAAAACCTTAGTTGAACTATGTGACTTCTGTGACCTTCCAGCTCAAACTCTACAGTATTCTGGCTTTGGGAAGAGGAGGGTACCAGTGAGGGAACGTTCAAAGAGTTTTTCATTTGCTAATTTACCCAGGGGAAACTTCTTGGGTTTCATGTCATCTCCAGGTGCTCCAAACCAGGAATGAGATTTCTGCCTTCCCCTTAAGGGCTCTTTTCCCTAACCCTAACTCCCAAGCAGATGCCTCCCTGCTACCCCTGGTGCACAGAGAAGAGATGCACTAGGTCTGCCCTCTCAACCAGACAACTTTCTCTCCAGCTATGTCACATACACACACACACACACACACACACACACACACACACACACACTGCTCTGTAGGCAGTCATAGAATGCTAGAACCCAAAGAAGCCTGAAAAATCATAGAATCATGGAAGTATTTTAAAGGTCATCTAGTTCAACCCCACTCATTTCACAGATGAGGACACTGAGGCACAGAGAGGTAATGTGAAATCTGGGTCAGGAGGATGTGAAGATCTAGCAAACAATCATTTTTAATTGGGGTAACTGTTCCCTTGTGTCTTCATTTCCTATCCTCTCCCCAAAAAAAAGAAAATCCACTTAAACCATTCATCCCATTCTTTCCTACCAATTTATCTTCCCAACCGCTACCACCACCAAGCAAGGACCACCCTAGTTAAAATGGTACTCTTGTAACATGAGAAGATCAAGCCTAGGAGAGGCAGCTTAAAATAAAAACTATTCCCAGTAAGTGCTAGGCTTGTCCTTACTGATCTTCTAGGGGAGGAAGGGAAGGGTCAGGGGCCCTTTTAACACCAGCCAGGTTCCACGGTGCTCTCCAAATACATCCCTTCCCTACTGATGCAGAAATCAATTCAGGCAAGCAGGCCTTGTGACCAGAAAGAGCATAGAGAACTCACTGTTTCAAGAAATTCAAAGGCTCTGCCCAAACATGCTGAGAAAACCCTGGCTTTTGACGAAACAAGCCAGGCACAGTAGGGTCCCCTTCGGCTTTTATGTGGCAATTTAATAGTGCAATAAATTTCTCTCCCTCCTTAAAGAAAGCACGCACTGGTGGATTTCAAAGACATCTGATGACAACGGTCGCATCAGGGCTGCAGAATTCTATGTAGCTCATGTCAGTGGGGCGACTGGCACAGTCAGACACAACCTTTGATGGATATCTGGAATGGGGCTATCATTTAACCAGGGAGGCCACACAGAAAACTGCAATATTGTATTGAAAGCCGCTCTGCCAATCCAGACAGTTGTATTATTTTCTTCCCCTCCATGAACACCGTTAAAAAGGACTTTCCTCCTGACAAGTGGGAAGAAGGACTCTGGGTGGGAGGCGGGGTGCAAACTAAGCTCTTTATGATAGCAACAAGACTGATGTCCAGTCAATTGTCGGTCTGTCTGTCCCGCTGCTCCACCAAAGTATTCAAGTAACATCTAATCCAGGGATGCATGCTTGGTTTACAGCGCCCAGGGCGGGCAGGCGACGCTGACAATCGTGTCATCAATGGAGACGCCGATGAATGAACACCTGGGATGCTAGCACCAGAATCTCCCACCCACCCAACCAAACCATTCCGCCTCTCTCGGTCTCTGTTGCAGCTGGTGTGGAATTCTCTACCTGCAGCTTTACTTCACAATGCAAACCCACCCCTCCCGAGCCCCGGAGCCCCCCCCCCCCCCCGCCCCATCTATTTTGCAGGACGAGCATTTCCCTCCATCGCCACCTCCCCTCCCGAAGCACTGACACCCCCTCCCTCCCCAAGCGGCCGGGGTCTTCGCATGAGTCCCTGGGAGCAGCCCGAGAAGAGCCCCGTCTGGGACTATCATTTTACCTTTCCACATACTACGTGCTGCTGTGGCCCCGGGAAAGGGGACCTGGAGTCCCCTCCACCAGATGGCCTTTCGAAAGCACCTCCTCCGGGCGCTCCAGACAAAGGGATTCCTAGCTGGGGGGGTGGGGGGCCGCGCCCAGGGGCTCCAGGACCCTCCGCAGTAATCGGGGGGAAAGTTGCGCGCGCGCGCGCGCGCAGAGCCCAAGCAGGAGCCCGGGGCGGGAGCAGGAACAGAAGGAGGAGGATTTACCTTGGTGATGCAAGCCCGTGCCCTTGCTCCCCTAGCACTCCATGCTGCAGCTCGCCCTGCTCTGTTTTTCTGTGACACAGAACTGACTTCACCGACACATGAGCCGCGGGCCAATGGGCGGCTGCGGCCTCCCCCTCATTAACATGCATCTGGAATCCTCCACTCGGGCCGAGCCTGGCCGGCGGGAGGAGTCGGTCCTTTCCTCCGCTCGTGGCAGTGACAGGAAGGGGCGTGGATGCCAATGGGAATCGAGGAAGCCGCCGAGCCTGCCCAGCCTCCCCGGCTCATTGTCAGACTCCTCGAGGGCTGCTGCTGCTAACGCTCATTCCCCAAAGATAAAAGTGAGGGAAGGGACGTTGTTGTTACTCCTTCCTGGCGTGAAGGCTCCAGACTCTGGATCTCTTAAAAATCCTTTCCTGTCTGACCCTGCAAGCCTGCGTAGACTTGGACCGGGACCCTGGGGACCTGCCCTTGCATTCAGGGGCTGGACGTGAGAACGCTTGGAGAGGCGCTGGAGCGAGCACACGTTTAGAGCGCCGAGGGACCCCAGAGGGGCATCTAATCCAACCCCCGCCACTTGGCAAATGAGGAAACTGAGGACCGAAGTAGCATTAGTCCTGGGAGTGCGTGAAAGCGTTGGCAATTTGAAACCAAATCCTCTGACTCCACATCCAGGATCCCATCCAGGGCTCCGTGGAAACCCATTTCCCACAGAGAGAATGGCATACGAGGGACTAATAATAATTATGACATTTAAGTAGCAGTGAGTAGCTCTCTTCCACAACAACCCCTGAGGCAAGTCTTACAGGACATCAATCAGCAATATTTATCAACCCAAGATATCATCCCCATTTTACCGATGAAGGACCTCCAGCTCAGAGGTTGGGCTGCTCCTAGGGTCACACAGCTAGTAAGTGAACAGGTTCTTAAGATAAAAGTTCTGGAGCTGGAAAGAACCCGTGAGGCCATGGGAGACCCAGAGATGAAAAGTAACTAGCCCAAGGTCATGTAAGACCTGAGAGTGGGTGACAGAGCTGAGGTTGGAACCATGACCTCTGACTCTCCACAGGCAATGTTCTTTCCAAAGCACTGTAGAAACTTCTTTCTCACACTGGATCACACAGGTGCCAGCGTTTTCTACTCTTCCAAGTGGCCCGAGGTGGAATTTGAACCCAGGTCTTTCTGACTCAAATTCCAACCAATACAATATACTCTACTGCCTCAAACTGATAAACACACAAGCCAGTGGGAAACATGAATTGTCAAGAAAAATCAACAAGGAGTTTGGTAGCACTATTAGTGGAAAAAGCATTGGACCTAGGTTCCAATTCTCCTTCTGATAGTTTTCACTAGTGACCTTTGGTAAGTCACCTCTGGGGACTTCAATTTCCTCATTTATAAAATGATGGGGTTGGACTAAATTATCCCTAAGTTCCCTTTCAGCCCCAAAGCTTCCAGTGAGGGTTGTTAATCTGGGGTCTGGGAACCTGTTTTTGTTTTTTGGGGTTTTTAAAAATATTTTGATAACTCAATTGAATTGGTTTCCTTTGTTATTCCATGTATTTTATGTTACTGTATATATTTTTAAATGTTCTGAGAAGAGCTTCACAGGCTTCATTGGACTGCTAAAAGGGTTCATGGCACACACACACACACAGACAGAGAGGGAGGGAGAGAGAGAGAGAGAGAGAGAGAGAGTTTAAGAAATCCTGTTCTCTGAGTATTCATTAAGTCGATGGCCCCAAGCTAAGATTTCTGAGAAGCTCCGTAGTAGAACACAAGGCCCTTGAGCTCCTATCAGTTTATATCAAGCTAAGAAGACAAGACCTATAAACATGAAATGGTGAGAGAATTATACAAGGGAATATGGAACCAAGAGTTAAACCTGGGGTGCAGAACCAAGAGATAAACATCTACCACCTGGAAACCTTACCTGATAGATCTCCAAACTGGTTGTGGCTACCACATCCTTCTTTCCACCCATCCCTGCTCTCCTCAGGTTTCCAGGGTGCTTAGCAGGAAGGGAAATACAACTGGCATCTGTGGTCCCTGTTCTACAAGGCTGGAGGAATTACCATCACTAATCTGCCCCTGGCTCAGGGATTTCTCTGTGAATACCTCCAGTCAACCTATTCCTGCCCCCTCCCCAAACTCAAGCCAAGAACTCCCTTTCTCCAATGATCTTAAGAATTTAGGGAAATTGAAAGATCTTTGGCTTGCAAAGAGATTAGGAGCCTCAGTGGTAGATTTTGTGGTATAGGTTGAGCTAAAAATAATACTGCATTGGGATAGCCAAGGAAGGTTTCTGGAATTTGAAAGGAGCCCTGAAGAATGAAGGTCCAGGGTCCAAGACCTGCACCAATACGGATCCCAACTATTCCATGACTTACAGTCTTAGAGAGGTGCCTGAGACTAAAAGAGCTTAAGCAACTTTACCAGACCACACAGCTAGGAAATATCAGAAGTGAGATGTGAACCCAGGTCTTTTTCACTCAAAGTCGGATTCTGACACCCAGCTATCTCTATGGACCATAGAAATTTGCACCTACAAAACACTTTTAGGGGGTAGTACGGCATAAGTTGAGAGTTGGCTTCAGAGCCTAGAAGGCCTAGGTTCATCAAATCCTGCCTCTGACACACCCTGGCTGTATGACCCTGAGCAAGTCACTTAACATCTCTGAGACTATACTTCAAAGAAATCAAGACCCACACCACCAAAAGTGCAGATCCTTGACAGAGTTAATTAAATGGTAGGCTAGGGAAATATCACAGTTTAACTAGATGTTAGGCAAGTATCCTTGGTGCTTGGCACGGTGCTTAGCACATAGTAGGCATTTAATAAATGTTTATTGACTGACTTCAGTTAAGTACTACGTGTTATTTTTGTGGAAAACATGTAGGGATGTGATGAAGGTATCAAACTGAAATGGAAACAGAGGCCATCAAACCAACATATAACAGACTGTATCGGCTTAGAAAATCATATATACACATTACCTGTGTTCTATTGTATTTGTTAAATATTTCTCAATTACATTTTAATGTAGTTGGGCTATATGTGTGTGTTTGATACCCCTGGTACATTTTGATTTATTTTAAAAAGTACTTCTCAGTTACATTTTAATCTAGTTGGGGTGTGTGTGTGTGTGTGTGTGTGTGTGTGTGTGTGAGAGAGAGAGAGAGAGATACCCCTGGGCTAGGCAATAGATAGATTCAGAATTGGTTGAAGGTTGAATGCCTGGACTCAAACCAGAGTTACTAATGGTTGAGGCAGCATGGCAGACTGAACAGCCAAGGAAACCTGAATTCAAACTCTGCCTCTAATATATACTAGCTGTATGACCTGGAGCAAGTCACTTAACCTCTTAGTGTTCTAGATAACTCTAAGACTATAAATTGCAGCAAAGGTACTGACCTGGGCTGGCAGAGGGAGTTTCTTCATCTGGGAGTTCCCTATACCAATAAAATCAAATGCCCAGTCCCCATAGCATTTCTGCTTTTTTATATATTTTCATGTATATTATCACATTTTTTTTCCCTCAAAGGGGACAAAGTATTTAGATCAGCAGAGAGAAGACAGGTTGGAATTCAAGAGATTGAGAGAGAGAGAGAGAACAGTAAAGGATTATAGGCATGTAACACCCACCTGGAACAAAGGGTTCACATTGGGGAGCAGTGGGAGTAGGCTGATTGCATAGGGTGGAACCAGATCAATAGAGTCTTACTGGTAGGCTGACTTAATCTGAAAGGGAGTCTTGAACAGGAGATTGACAGGATCTAGAATGTGAAGATCTGAAATGTCCCTTAGATTTTATCTAGTCTAATCTTTCACCACATCAATGAATCCTATCCATAATATTCCTGACAGATGGTCCAACCAGCAGCCCTTGAAAATTTCCAGCGATGAAGGACAATTGGTGAGGCAGCCGGTCCCATTGTTGGACAGCTCAAATTGCAGGAAATTTCTTTCTCGTGTTGAGCCAAAATTCACTTCCTTCTAAAGTTTACTCATTGATCCTATTTTCCCCTTCTGTGTCAATGTAAGATGAGTCTGTTTTTCCACATTATAGCCTTTGCATATTGGAGGACAATAAACCTCCTAAACCTTTTCTTTTCTGAAGTGTAAACATCTCCAATTCCTTCAAATATTCTTCATATGACATTGTTTGAATATCTCCCATCATCCTGGTCACCCCATACCCATACATATGCCCTAGCTACTGTCTAGAATGTTAATTTCCATTTCTAAGAGTGACAACTGGAATTAGACCAAATAGTCCACCTGGGTTTCAATTAAACTCAACAGTAGAACCTAAGTACCTTGAAAGTAAAGACAATTTTTTCTTTATATCCTCCCAGTGCCTAACATGGGGCCTGGAACATGAGGGAACAATAGCTACTTAATACATGTTTGTGGAGTTTAATAATAATAGTAGTAGTAGTAGTAGTAGTAGATAACATTTATATAGTACCTTCTAAGTGCCAGGTGCTTTCTAATTATTATTTCATTTGAGCCTCACAACAACCCTAAAAGGTAGGTGCAATTTATTATCCCATTTTACAGATGAAGAAACTGAGGCAAACAGAGGTTGATTTGCCCAGGATAACACAGCTAGTTAGTATCTTGAGGCAGGTCTTCCTCCAGGCCCTGTGCTCTGTCCACTGTACCACCCACCACCCCTCAATGCATATTGGAGTATGAAGTATCTTTATTTGTCCTGGATATTAGGCTCCTATTAAAATTACTTGAGATGACATTAGCTTTTTTCATCAAGTTAACTAGCATTTATTAGGAGCTTGCTTTATGCAAGCCACTCTGTTAAGCTGCTTTTTTTTTTTGCAGTCAAATCACACTTAATATTAAGTTAATATTAAGCTTTTAATCAATAAAAGCCCCCAGGTCTTTTTCACATGAACTACTACCTAGCCAGTTCTCTGATCATCTTTTACGTATTTAATTGCTTTTTTGAACTGAGGGAACAGAATTTTACCTTTTACCTGTTAAATTTTATCTTGTTGGTTTGGGTCCATTTCCTCAGGCTCCTAAGTTCATTTTACAAACCAGTTCTTTC